CCGGTGGGTGCTCCAATTCTTCCCATCCCCAATGTTGGAGTAGCTACCATACACACTCTGCTTTATGTGGTCTTGCATTGTCGTGCAAAAATTATTGCACTGTCCACAAGATTCAGACGTTTATCCCGAATGCATCGTTGTACCTGTCGCACCAGGAAGTCCCTGTAGTACTGTGCAGTCACTGTTCTGCCATGAGGAACAAAGTGGCAAACAATGACACCCCTGATGTCAAACTTGACGATCACCATCAATTTGACTGGGGAAAGGATTCTGACGTTAGCTCATTGCACAGTATCCCGTGGACGGTGCGTTTTTCGATGCCAGTTGCCCTCTCTAACTCGATTAACGTCCATCGTCTGTCTTCATCCATGAGGTGCTCGATGACGGCAGGTGCAAGTCGGTCTTCACACTCACTGGTTGTCCCGAATGTTTCTCATCACTGGTTGACACATGTCCTTGCTGAAACTTTCCTACTCACCGTGTTATTGTATAATATGGTAGGGCATTATTCCCAAGGGCTTCTACTAATTCACTGTGACATTCCATCGCATTTCTCCCTCGGAGAACGGCTATTTTGATGTAAGCGCACTGCTCAACACAGGTTACTTCCATCTCACACGACACTCACCAACTAACTGATTTCAGTGCCCTCGTTACCACAGAGCCAGCTATCACAAAGCCATCTGTTGTTCTGCATACACACTATGCCTGCAGAACTTTCATATGACACATATACGTTTTGTGATCCATTCACATATCTACAAGAAAAAATAGTTGCCATGACTTTTGCCCCAACCCTCGTATATGACAAGAAGAGGTCATGAGACTTCATCTGAACAATGGCATAAGATGATAACTAAGATTTCTGAGCAAAACAAGTACTGCAGAAACAATCTGACAAAAATAGGCAACATAAATAAATTTAAATCTCAGCCAAATTACATTCCAAGATTAGGTACAAGTTGTTATAACTTTAAATACTGGACAGAACATTATGTATAGAATAAATAGCTTTGATTTGAATTTCTTCTGTTGCAACATTTAAATATTACTATACCACATCTTTTCTAATTCTTGTAAAATATATGGTATTCAGTTTGATCAAGCAAAAATAAGTAACTTTACAAATATCTAAATCTTGAATGGTTAATTTTGTAAGAAAATTTGGGAGACTTTTGCTGAAATAATAAATTACTGGGGGAGATAAATATTCAAAAGGTGGTAGAGTTTTGATGCTTTTACTGAGAAATGTAAACTATGATATCAAGAAAAAGTAAATTCTCCTGATAACTCTAAGCTTGAAATTCAAGCCATAAAGATTAAATGGAAAAATCTCTCAGCATTTATTTTTTTATCAGCCTTTGGATCGGTTACATATTGTGCATTTATTGATATTTATGACAACAGAGTCAGCTATTCTAATGCCTGATTTTAATGCAAAGCACCTTCTGAGAATATTCCACATCAAACCAGAAAGGTGCTGATCTCTAAAATTTTTGGACTGCAGTGCCTTTTGTTTTCTGAACGATGGGGTTCCAACACGTTGCTCTTGTAAAACCAAGTAGCCAACTGTTACATGTGTCAGCTTAAATATTTATTTTAAGTACCTGAAAGGTGCTAGCATATGTTGGGAATGATCAGCTGACTGTCGTAATTGAGCTTAAAAATATTCCTGAAGCATTACAGATCAGCTAAAATCTCTTTAATTTCAATAAAGCAAATAGATTTATTTAAGAGTTTACTCGTTCCCCTTTTACAAGTTTTATCATGGTCGTGAAAATAAATGGCATTTGAAAGGTCTCTTTAAAGCTGCTGGGCTGGCAATTCCCACAGGCAACAGGAAAAGGTTCAAACCCAGTTTTAATCATTATTCAGAAACTCTTTTGCTTTTTTTGAGCAAACAAATGTTCTTCAATATGATTTTTTACCTCTTCATTTTCCCCCCATGAGGACTGCACTCAATGCATTTAATGCAAAAATCAAATGAATTTATGCATTTTTTACAAGGAAGATGGATTGATAGCTGTTGAAAGCTTGACTAATACTCTCATGAATCTTTGCTTTTTTTCGATACTTGCATATTTGCTTACCACTTTACAAGTGTTACATTGGATGCACTATTTGATTAGTCATGTTTCACTTATACCCAGACAATCAAATAATTACGTATCGTATCTACTTATTATACCTAGATATTTATGCTTATTAGCATTATCTAGCTTATATACATATTTACATTCATATTTCATTTAAATTTTGAGATCTAGGATTTATACAGTCTGATACATAGATCACATACAATTTCAGCTATAGCTAATACTTATTTCACATACATTCCTTGACACACTTACAAAGCTTTACAATGTTTCTATACATCATTAACATTTGAGATTCACATATTATTTGATATCTAGACACATACAAAAGGATACACAAATCACATACTTTTCTTAACCCGTTAACTGCCAAAACTACAAAGAATGATTCTTTTCTCATGAAAATAATCACAAATACTAAATTAAGCATTTATAACAAATTTACATTGAAAATGAAAAAAATGCTCTTACCTATGGAAAAAGCGAGTGTTGCGTTCGTGCAACGCCAGCGGAATAAGACTATGGATGTTTAGTGAATTGGATTGTACTCGTGCAATGTTTCCTTTGAATGGAGCACTGAATTACTTTCTAGCTGTATAACATTTTATTTACAAATTACTTTACTTGTGATTAATTTAATATAAAATATACATTATATTTCTTTTACAAATATAGATTATTTCAATTGAAAGACCCAAGCATGAAAAGCTTCACTACACTCATGATGTAGAGTTACATTACATACTTTGCGTCTATAAACAGTCTGGCTATGGCACTCTTTACTATGAAGTCTTTTGTTATCATCGTACTTTACGATAAAATGTGTACCATCTCCATGCAGTGGTTTTTGAATGCCCTCGAATTTACTAAGTCTCTCTGTTGCTGGTCTATTTCTGGCTAATTCTACACTCTCAATAGGAGTTTGCAAAAGGAATAATGCAATCTTGTGCTTGAATTTAAAAGAGACTTTTTATTTCCAGTAGTAAAATAGAAAGTCGTGATATTTAGTAAGTATAGATATGGTCTCATCTTGTATAATTTATCAGTATTGTCAATTTGACTATTGTCAGCTAAATGCAAGTTCTGCTTCATATTCCTTTACTGCAAACGTGATATCGAATCTCATACAATAGGAACAGAAATGTCTTTATCAAGAGACCAGTACATGTCTTCTTGAGGCGATGCGGTGCGCAACAAACTGAAAGTTGATCTGTCAGCACTATCCTTATCTTCAGGGCAGATGTTTTTGTTTTATTCGGCTTATAATTCCTTACTAAATGTAGTATTTCATCTCGATGTACTCCATCTTTGATATGATTTAAATCAAATTCCTTGTAATTATAAATATCACGAATACACATCAAATAGTTTTCTGGTTCCAATTTTCTAATTTCGGCTAAGCGTAATGTATGCTTTATGCATGCGCGTGTTGAAAGAAATGTTTAATAAAGTAAACAAATAAATATAAAGTTTTTTTTGGTAAATTTTGATACCCTTTATAGCATAATTGCTCTTTATTTCATAAATTACGGTTTCATATTTTTAATTTAATAATTTCTGCATGCCATCTTACCAGATTTACACTGATGATCTATAATCCGGAATCGCCAAAGTCCCGACGAGTCCGGATTAAAGACTTTTGACTGTGTATAAATTGTATACATTTCCTGGTACTTACTCAAAACATTGCTGGTTTACAGTTATGTCTTTTATTTTATTTATTATCTTTTATTTCCTATCAGATGACACATTGCATTTGCTTAAAATTTTACATGTGCTGTGTGGGATGTATAGTGTGCACTCATACTTTACCTACACAGCAGTTACTAGTTTCCAAACATATTTCACAAATGCTTTGATGTACAGCTCACATTCAAACTGATGCCTAGATCATATGCTATTTTACCAGTGTGAATCCTAATTCTATTTCAGTACTTATAAAGATTTTTTTTTCTTTTGGTTCGGAAGTTAATATGAGGTTATATCAGATATCTGACATTCTTACCGTGGACTTTGTATTGTACTTCATGGTTTTCAACTCTCTTGAAAACTATACAATAGTTTAAAATTATTTAGTTGCCTTAACCAAAGAATATTAGATTGTCTATTACTTATAGAATTGTATGTAGAAACAAAAGTTATTACAAAAGTAGCTGCATTCAGATAAGATTATGTGGCACTATTTGACAAATTTATCCAACAAAAAAAAAAAAAAGGGGGCAGGGGTTGAATTTGGAGGTTATTTTTAAAGAAAAGAGAAATTTGCTGAAGTTTGGAAGTTAGTTCTTAACAACTTCAAGACTGTATGTATGCAAGGAGATTACTCATGTCTCATGTTATTGTGCCTTTGTGAAAAGTCCTAATGTAAACCGAAACATGGAAAGGTCTTATATGGAAATCCACTTACTGATTCTCATCTTAATGTTATTTTAAAAATGATATGTAGCAGTTTTAAGCCTGATGTCAAAAATAGCAAAAGGGTTTTTTGATGTAGAAAATTGCATTAATGTTTAGGTAAAGCTTTGGATACTTTAAGTTTATTTTTTTGTTTTTATATTATTAAGCTGTCAGGTATTTTATGTACTATGTTGCAACTGTCATAATCTGGCATATATATTCATATTGCTTGAAATAATAATGGGGGAAAAACTGGTTGTTAAAAATTTTGTAATCTCAGTCATATTTTCAGTTCAGCCAAGAAAAGAGGTAAAAAAAAGATTTTTATGTTAAAAAGTAGTTTTTAAATTTAATGAAGTTATGTTGATAGCAGTAATTATTATTTATTTACAATATTTGATAGTTTTCTGGCATAATCTTTTCCCTGCATTCATCTTTTTTACTTTTCTTAATTCCAGCAAAAAATGATAAGCTGAGATTCCATTGTATATTTTATTGCTGTTTCAGACGGGCTCACCTGAAAGAATGCTTTGAAGCTTTAAAAAAACAACTGCCAAATATGGATGACAGGAAAACCTCCAATTTAAGTATCCTGAGGGGAGCCATACGATTTATTCAGGTAAGAATTATTATTAGTCTTTTGATAGATATAAGTAGTATTTTGTCACCTTCATCTTACTGAATTTGAGGTTTTTTATGTGCATAACCAAAAGATATACTCTCAAGTGCTCTAAAATGATATAAAATTATATGTACTTAAGATGCAGTAACTATTAACAACTGAAGAATATTTTGTATTGTAATAAATGCTTTTTCTGCCATTGCTTTCTGACTTACAAATGATTAAATAAAATGACTAAGTTAACTAACAAGTATAGCCATAAGCAATTGATTGATGCTGCAGCTTATCTGGATTATTTATTATGAAAATATTTTTAATAAGTGAGAAAAATACAAGGTAATCAAAAAAGTTCTTGCCATTTCTGATGTGATATTGGAAGAGGGAACCCTAACATAAAAATAGTTGCCAAACCTGGCAATGAAGTGGTTAGGATGGGAGTCCAGACATTGACCAAAAGTATAAAAGCACATTGTATCGGTACTTCAAACATAACTCACACAGTGACTGATTGAAATGGATGTATCAAAGGGGCTCATTTGAAGTTGTTTGCTTTATGTTTTTAAAGTGGGCCTATCAGCAGCAGAATCAAGTCGACGAATTAACAAATGAACCTCTAGGCAATGGTTCCAGAAATTCATGTCAGGGGATATGTGTCTTAGTGATACACCATGCTGCAGTCGTCCACAAGCACTAGACGATGAGGACCTGAGAGCAACCATAGAGAGTCCAGTAGCCAAACATATGTGGTAAGCTTGTTGCACACTTCCAAGTATCAGATTCCATTTGCACTGCATAGGAAAGGCATACAAGCTGAGCAAGTGGATACGCCCACTCAACTGTCTGATGTAAACAAGAAACAGAGTGTCACTACTTGTTTGTCATTGCTTACTTGGCATTGCAATGCATCCATATTTGATCGTTACACACCAGCGATGAAAAGTGGGTCCAGTATAACACACCCAGGCATTCCAGACATTGGTTGTCACCACGGGACCCTGTGTCTCACACTACAAATCCTTCTCTCCACTCACGCAAGATCATGCTCTGTATACTATGTGTATACACTATATACTATGTGTGTCTATACATAATATATACTATATAGAACTATATATATTCTTTGAATGACTCGTTTACTACTCATCGTACATGCCCTGTTTTTACTGCTCATCATAAAGTTGCCAAAAGCAGCCAAATCCCGTGTGCATTGGATACTAGGATGAAACCATTCTCTCCCTTTTTACTGGAGCACAACTTGCCGCTGAATGCATCGGATCACGCTGCAGCTTTATTTAGAAAAATGTTTCCCGATAGTGAAATCGCTAAGAAATACTCAAGTGCAAGGACCAAAACAGGTGCAATTGTTAAAGAAATGGGTTTGAAAAATTAATCTTCAGTTATTGATTGCATTAAAACAGCTCCGTTCTGCTTCTCTAAGGATGGAAATCAATAATACCAATTCAAAACTGTATCAAATTGTTGTTTCTTTTTTTAATCCAGAGTCTTCAGAAATTGAGTCCAGTTTACTTTCTGTCCCCACTTTAGAAGGACATTCAACAGGCTTTAATATAGCACAGCTAATTATTAAAACTTTAAAAGAAAATGCAGTCCCTCTGGATAATTGCTTAGCACTTGGTGTCGATAATGCACCAGTAATGGTAGGCTTGAAGACTGGTGTTGCAGGCATCTTAAGAAAGGCAAATTCAGATTTGCAGATTATGAGGTGCACCTGTCACCTCTTAAATTTAGCAGCTGAAGGGCAGCTTCTTTACCAATAAATGTGGATGAACACATTGTTGATATTTATTATTATCTTGAAAGGAGTTCTAAAAGAAAAGAAAAATTGAAACAGTTCCAACAGCTGCATAATACTGAAATGAGAAAAATTTTGAAACGTGTGTACACTCTGGCTGTCTTTAAAGAAATGCTTATCTAGAATCCTCGATCAATGGAACCCACTTCTTGCATTTTTTTAAAGAAGAAGTAAATGCTTCGAGAGTTAGATAAAAGGCTCTATTGATAGTTATAAAATACCTGAAGTAAATGGAGATGTAGTTACTACTTCCATTGTTAAAAATAGGTTTGAGAAAAATAAAGTAATTTCTGCATCATTCAACAATTCAACTGGCAGTTCTCAAAATAATACTGCAAAATATAAGCGTGAAGCTGATACAAATTTCTCTTAAAATAAAAAAATTGCTCAACACACGAAACATTTTCCGATTACTGTAAGTTTATCTTGTGAAGAATGAATATTTATGTTTTTTTATTCGGACCTTAACAAAGCTTTTTGCTTTTTTTTACAATTCATTTTGCCATCATTCGATGTTCTTAACACAATTCTACAAAGCAGAATTCCATTAATTCATGTTTTGCAATCAATGATTTATGATCTGTTTAAAGACATTTTATCAAAGTTTGTAAAACCAGTCTGTGTTTTGTCTTGTAATTCTATATATGATGTGATTTATGGTGAAATAGAAAATCAGAAGAAAGATGAAGATTTGGTAATAGGAGCTGCAACTACAAAAGTAGTGGAAGAACTTTCAGAAGAAGACAAAAATAAGTTTTATCTTCATGTTAGAAGTTACTTCTGTCGAGTATGTGATTACGTACTACATAAGTTTCCAGTCAACGATGAAGTGATTTTGCATGCTAAAGTTTGTGATGTTTCTGCTCTAGCAAATGCATCTTTTTCTGATATAAGGTACTTTTTGAACAGATTTCCTGTGTTACTTCGTCGCAATTTTGCAGTTTACAATTAGAAAACTTGGATGAAGTTATAAAATCAGCTAGGATTGACACCCAGTGGAGTTTAATTGGAAAACTGAAAGGTGCTGATGGAATTTTAAAGTATAGTGAACTGTCTAGAATTATGTTGGCCATCTTGACAGTTCCCCATAGTAATGCGGAGTGTGAAAGGATTTTCAGTGTTGTTGCGAAAACGAGGACTAAATTTAGATCTAATATTAGTGATGACACATTAGAAAAACTTTTATTAGTGAAAGCAGGCCTACGTGGCAATTGCTATGAACAAAATTATGAAGTTTCTTTCTTAACGAAAGCAAAATCTGTTCATAACATTTGTATGAAAACTGATTAAAGTGTCTTTTTTTTAACGATGCACTATTTAAAGTTAATTCATTATTAAAAACTATATTTTTATCATTTAAAAAGTCTTTTTAACATTGTGAAAAATCTCTTGATTTTTGAGTGTCATAGGTTGGCAAGTATGTCTGTATATATAACTAATCACCAAGTGGTGCACTCCTGCCAGTGGGCCAAACCATCAGGGCAAGCCTGTACTTGCACCAGTTGGAACGTGTGCATCAGGCACTGATGCATAAAGAGCCAGCATTGGTTGATCATGAGGGTGTACTCATCCTCTATGACAATGTGAGGCCATATGTGGCTCAGGAAGCCAGGGACACCATCCAGCAACTGGGCAAAGAGACACTACCCCCTCCACCATACTCCCCAGACCTCGCACCAACAGACTACCACCTTTTCCATTCCCTGAACAATCATCTTTGTGGGAAATGTTTCAACAACCAGCCAGATCTTGAAAAGGCCCTCATGAACTTCTTTGCATCCAAGACCCCCGAGTTTTACTGCGATAGCATCTCACAGCTAGCCACTCGTTGGCTAAACACACTGGATGCCGATGGTGGTTACTGTGAGGATTGCCCGTGATTAATATTTGTTTTAGGACTTTTTCTTTCTGACTATCCGAAACGGCAAGAAATTTTTGGTTATCTTGTAGTTCAAGTCCATACTTGTAAATTTAATTGTATCGGAATATTTTTTTTTAGTTATTTCTATTTAAAGTTGTGCAATTTTTAAAATCTTATGTATAAGTAATAGGAACATAGATACCATAATATAACTAAAAACTTTCATTCAACAGGTTTTTTATTGAGTTGTTCATTAAAACTCTTTATCATTATCTTTTTTACCTCCTTACACAAAGTAAAGGAAGTACTGTAATTGTGAAAAATTTGAGTATCATAGTTCAGTGGAAGACATTCATTTTAACCTTTTCGGGCATGACATCTGTATGTCTGGAAAGAATAAAGGAGTAAAGGTTATCCCAAACAAAATTTTATATATATTTAAAAAATAAATAAATAAATAAATAATAAAAAAAAGGCAGCTTTCTACTTTTTTAAATATATAGATGCATTTGATGTTTTTCCATATATGATTTTGCTTATGATACAGTAGTTCATGTTAGATATTACATATGATACATGATGTGTGCATATGCATTCATAATAGATTGAATGCACACAGAATTGTTCATAGCTTGATAAAATTTATTTTACCAAAATGTTGCGGCTCGCAGTGAACTGGAAGTTGATCTTTCAGCACTATAGTTATCTTCATTGGAGATGTTTTTATTTTATTCGGCTTATAATTCCTTACTAAATGTAGTATTTCATCTTGATGTACTCCGTCTTTGATATGATTTAAATCAAATTCCTCATCATTATAAATATCACGAATATACATCAAATAGTTTTCTGGTTGCAATTTTCTAATTTCGGCTATGCGTAATGTATGCTTTAGGCATGCGCACGTTAAAAGAAATGTTTAATAAAGTAAAAAAATAAATATTAAGCTTTTTTTTGTAAATTTTGATACCCTTTAGATCATAATTGCTCTTTATTTCATAAATTACGGTTTCATATTTTTAATTTAATAATTTCTGCAGGCCATCTTACCAGATTTAAACTGATGATCTATAATCCGGAATCGGCGAAGTCCCGACAAGTCCGGATTAAAGACTTTTGACTGTACTAAACATACGTGCTAAATTATTGTTTAAAATTTTGAAAAATAATTAATACTAAATTTGTTTTTATAAATATTATAGCAAAATATTTAAAATGAAACTAATCTATAAAGTAGGCTGCATTTTATGTTTTATAAGTAGAAATGCATTTTATATATGTAAAAAAAATTATATTTCCGAAATCAATGCAAATCACATGTTA